TTAAAAAATCGACCAATAGATTTTAGAAGCTATAAATCAGGATTCGTTCCCACGGATACAACTAAAAATCACACATGTCTGCGTCTATGCAGATCCTAGAGAATAGTCCTATCAATGTTTGTAGTTTTTAGTGTAACTGGGTAAGAAAACTAAACATAGTGTAAAGTGGGTTCAGTTTACACCCAGATAGATCTGATTGGCGAGACGGATGCTCAAAGTAAGGCTTAAGGCGATTTGATTGGCCGCCATTTCAAGGTACATGTTCATTGGTTTCTTCCCAAGGTAACCAATTAAACCACTCTTATTTGGGTTCAGGAAACCAGCCAATTCGAATCCTAAATTATCGACCAATTAAGACGCGTTTCAGTCATGCGAAGTCAATTGGTTTCGATTATATTGGTGAAATTTTTGACGTGTCAAGTGTGTTGCTTGAATGGTGCGGCATCCGGAATTGCGATTAAAAGACGCGTGGATCTGACCTTACAACTTGACGTTTTTACTAATTTAGCGGGAGGTGTGTTTCAACTTGCTTACGGATGTGTGTGTGTATGTGTAGTTGTGACTCCTTGGTCATAAATTTGAAACCATTTTTTCGTTACTACTCCTTTGTGTTTTGTAGGTGCGTGCGTGCGTGCGTGTGTGCGTGTGTTTGTGAGCGCTCATTGTAAACGCGAAAATTATGTCCGATAAACTTATTTCTCGCACAGAGCACAACGATTGTTACAAAGCCCTGCCTCCCCTTCCATCAGGTCCGGTTTATTTATGACTATGCAGTTAGGACCTAGGACGCACCATTTCGACGTGCACTGTCATTACGCGAAGGACTGAGGGTGGTGGTGTCATAATTACCCAATGAAATTGCAAAGTGCATCGCCACAAAGCCCATCTAGATCCGATTGCAAATAATGCCAGTGAATGTATGCCGTTGTGTCAGCTTGAACTCTAAACAACAATTACGAATGAGTTGGAGTGCCAATCAACTGAGCATTTTCCGGCCCAATTAATTGACAGTGGACCACTCAAGTCTCAGAACACTAACCACAGGTAGCCCCGTGCTCAGACCTCAGCCACGTGTGGCAGCATTATCCAAAAAGTGATTGCATTTTATCTCATGCCTTGTATGAGAACCCCATTAACGGCAGCTCAAAAATTTCTCACCCAGTCAATTACCGTGAGATTTGCTTGGCTCGAGAACATCTGAGAGTAACTGCTAACTGTTAACCCTCTTTGCAATGTGCTGAACCCCGAACTAGAGCCTTGTGTGTAGCTTAATCTGTTGTCACGTGATACCTTCATTGAAAAAACACTGGATTTAATTAATTTTTTGGCAGATTGGCTACGCCTCAGTTCGAGAACCTTCCTTCTGCAGCGTGCACCAGGTTCGGCGCCTAACCTTGTGATCACGTAGTAAAAAATCGATAAGCCCACATTGATTGGTCCACGCTGTTGGCGTAATGCGGAAATGTGAGGGTGTTAAACTAACCAAACTAGCATTCAAGCCCTAGTTTTTTTCTTCTCTTTACATTGATTGTTTGAGCCCTTGATCCTTTTGGTCGTTTTTAAAACAAGTCCTTTCCCTCGTCTGTATAAATTTTTGGCTCTTGTAAGGAATTTTATTCAATGCAATTTGAATAAATTGTGATAATTTATTGGTTGAAAGTTCGCGCCGATTCCCCTTGGGGCAGTTTCGGGTTTGACACGCAAGGCTGGCGCCGGAATCGAAGAGAAATCACCTTCGCGGAAGTAGCCAAAAAGGTGACAGCTATTTCAAGCCTTATAAGCAGGTGAATTTCGACATGTGGTTTTTGAAAAAGTCCAAGTTAATTTTTCTACATCGTAATCTACTTGGGTGTAGGTAAAGGCAAGACGCGCCCAGACTCACTCGTAGAGTCTGTGAATCCATGCCTGCGTCATGCACAAGCAAGAAATATGCCTCCCTTTCCCAGAAATGTGCATCCACCGTCATGTGCTATCGTGAATCCGCAGCACAAAATCGTTGCTGCTGTTCGTTGTGCCTGGCCACTAACCAAGCAGATTATTGTATCGGACGGGATCTAACCAAGAATTTTTCCGTTTGAGATTCTGAATAAATATACTCTTCACTAACTGTCACAATTTTCCACAAGAAGTCCATTCACTGCTTGTTGTCGACGGACAAGCGGTAAAGGGCATGTGCGATCTACCCATGTGGACACCCAACTTCCAAGTTCTTGAATTTTCCCCATTTCTTGGCGCAAATGCTAGGGAAAATGAGTGTTTGGGTGACTCCTGACCGAGCTGCCAGCTCTTGGTGCGTTTGCGTTGAGTCTTCATTCAGTAGAGCTTGCAATTATGCGTCTTTTAACTAAACTTGAAAACACCACTTCAAAAGCGCTTGTACCAATAACTACAAAGGAAACAACGTGGCCACGAAGAACACCACAAACTGTTTGCCGGGCTTTAAATGTATTTTTTTTTCTTGTGAAATGCAGTGTCACTGAATGTGCTGTTTATCAGTTGCCATCGTAAACTCTGCTATTCTGAGATTGTTATCTGATTCTCGCAAAACCACAAATACCGTGAAAATATCTCTACTTTAAATGCAATTTTAAGGTTGAAGAAATAGCTGTAAGAACGGAGTCATACACTTGATATTTTGATCCAGTGACTAACATGATCTCCATGCAGAAAAAATATTGGATTAGATGGCATTACTGTGCCTGACAAGTGAAAGTGATATAGTATTGTTTCCAGCCTCAAGACTACCCTGTTGTCATGGTGATGGACACTTCCCAGAGGATAGGAGAGGTCGCTAAACAGATTTTTCTAGAAATTTACAATAGACATCATATTTCCAGACCCTCTTAGCTTGTTTAAATCGATCCAGTAAAGGTTCTAAAACAGGGGCAGCCTAATACAGCGCCATGGGTTTTACAGGCTGGGATTTTAAGCCCCTACAATGACACTTTAATCGCCTATTCCTGCGTTAGATTCTCACTCAGAATCATCGAGCTAAGTGTATCCGATTATCTCCTACGGCCGGAATTGCCTGTCGGCGGCGCTTTCTATCACCGTGCGCTTGGGGGCCTAGATAAACGGCTGCTTGCGCATGCGTGTATGCACACGAATGCCCTTACCAGGAGCCAATCAGCTCGTGACGTAATGAGTCATGCACGGGCGCACCGCGCACGCACGCGTGGCCTTGTGATTTTACGTCGTTACTTTGCCGTACTCAGTTGGAGCTGGGCAAAACAAAAGTGTATCGGCAGAAAACACCACAAATCTTCACTTTGACACGCGTTAAATCCGTGGCTTAAAAAAGCAGGCTAGATTTGTATAACGTGGCGCCTGATATGCAGCCTTAAGAATTGGACCAATCACAGACCGCTTTCGTTCATTTACTAGCCATTTGAATGGCGGAAAAAAACACAGGAATTACTTTGAGGTATTTCTGACACAAGTAGCGGCTCTTAGCAAATGAAATCTAGGGTGACGACAGCATGCTGTGGAGCGGCTTGGCACCTGGAAACCGTCGTGTCCGAAATCTGGGTGTGTTGCGGAAGGAACATGGGCACAGGCGTGTCAGGCACGGCCAAATGGAAGGGAGTGGGAAGATGCTGCATCCACATGTCTCCAGTGTAAATTAAATTAACAATCAGGTCAAACAATTGCATCGTCACGGTTCGAGAAGAGTGCATGTGTGTACGCACGCACGCACGCACTCACGCGTGCGCATACCAACATATCAACTGGCATATGCGAACGAATAAATCATTAACTTCGAGTGCATTGTTGTACTCTCTTCGTGTTGCTAGCACTGTACCGCGGGGAGCCACATCACCCGAATGCGAGCCTCGTGCAGGCGTTCGATCAGCCGAATAATCGATACTGTACCTTCGATCGGACTGTGAAGAGTGCGTAGGCAATGGTGATGGCGGCGTTAGATTTTGCTGTGAGAAGTCACGTCATTTGTGGCCAAATCAAACGCGTGTACTTTTCCAAAGAAAATGTATCTTTTAGGCAGCGGCAAGTTGACAGTCAGCAAGCCTGTATCGACGTGTGAACGTGCATTCACGTAGCGGCAACACTTTAAAATCAGATGAAAAAAAAGAACAAATTTAAGGAGTGAAAAGAAGTCTTCATCAATCTAAAGTGCGACTTCTTGGTGGAAAAAATAATCACCATCCTTCATCGTAACTTACATGAAAGAGTAACTTTGATTCCTGTGCGCACGATAGTTCCATTTTAATTTGTGCTAATTGGTTTAATCCTGGTTCGTTAGAAATGGTGTGGCTTGGTCAAAATACTGCACCACGATAGGAAGTATTGAACCGAGAAACAGCCATCGGTAACTTTCAAGCTCCACAAGAACGATGTTATATTAACATTTCACGCAGTAACCATTGCCATTATTTATCCCTCCTGTACGTGTGTGCGCGGTTGCAGTTTCCGCAAATTCTTCTTGTTAGCAGATGTGTGTAATCTAAAAGGGCTTCTATTGTTTTGATCACCAGCGTTGACCTTTTCAAATTAGGCGCCGAGTTTTCTTGAGTCAGCGTTACTGCACGACGCAGTCTGTACGTTTTCGAGCTGAAATTATCGATTTTTCCTCCAAAAGCCTGTGGCTTATGAGGTGCTTTACTTTTGAGACCTTACACGCACCAGGAGGCACTTGCCCGCTTCGATTCGATTCACGTTTAGCAAGATGGTCACTGGATTAGACAATTTTTCCCAGAGACTTTGAGACTAGCATTTCAACCTCCAAACTGTGAAAAATTTGGTAAAAGCACAAGGAACCTGGGGCACTTGAAAGGCTTTACTCGAATCCTAGTCTACCGCAGGAATAATTACCTTCACAACTAATCTAGATTTATTTAAAGATTAGTTTCTACACCAAGAAAAACTCCAGTGACGCATCAACCACTGCTCACTTGGGATTTTAACATTGCGACCGTTTTCTGTAATCTTAGCCGCTTAAAATCGGGCGGAATTATCTTCATTTAATTTTTTATTGCCTACAACTACTCGGTGAAACCGTGTTCCATGCTGTTGGTTTCACGGTCACGTGACCGACTTGCTGCAGAACTCAGCTTTGGTAAAAATCGATACGCGTTTTCAAATGCGCCGCGTTGCTGGATGTAACGCGCCAACTTCGGATTGAAGCCAGCGGGCTGAAACTTGCAAAGAGAACCAATTAAATCTTCTTTGATCGCGCCGCGATTTGGACAAAAAAAATACAGATACGCATTAATCAGGGCCCTGTGCGTAGTAAAGCGTGTTTGCGAGGCCTTGCATACGCACGTACACACACACACACACACACACACACACACACACACGACATATTCAGGCAGGTAACAGGCGTTGTGTACTCGGCGATCCAGAAAGCGGACGCTATGGTTGAAATGACAGACGTAGTCTAGCACAAGAGCTTTTTTTCAAAATCTGCTAGTGAATCCACTGAAGAGGGTGCCTTTGGCAGGCCAGCAGGCGTTGTGGGGGTTTTGGTTTTATCCATGCATGTGCTGCTGTGTTCACAAGAATTCATATTTGTTCGAAATTTTGAATTCCACTGCGACTTTGCTTTAAATTGATGAGCACTGAAACTGCTGCGCGATTCTCTCAATAAATCTCGTTTTATTCAGATATTAATTAAGTCGTTTGTTTAACAGGCGCCTACGCGTGTATACACAGCTCTATTAAATCACTGTCTAGAAATGTCGCGATATGTTTAATGCGAGTTTTGTCGGAATAACCTCCAAATACACAAATATTAGAAGAATTTTTGAAACAGCAATGAAACGACGATCACAAAAAAAATTAAAACGAACAGTAAAAAAGGGTACCTTAAAGAACAGCTTTCCCCTTCCTCCTAAACTGTTACGTCAACACGGAATTGTATTCAGCACGCCATTGGCTGATTCTGAACGTAGTACCGCGCGCAAATTTGAATATTGCATGCATCTTGAAGCGCAACATTAAAGGGTAAAAACGTGTTGTTAATAATCATCTGCGTCGTAACGAAATCATCAATTTGTGAATAATCGAGACGGCTTTCTTTCCGGCCCATTAGCAAACTGTTCGGGCGATTGAAACAAACTGCCCACTGCCCAGTGGTACACGCCTCACCACGACAGTTTGGCGTGAAAAATGTGCCTTTCCTGCAACACACACACACACACACACACTTCCAGGTACAACAAACTCTTTGAAAGTGTAAAGCGTTCAGCGTCCAAACGATTAATCAGCAAATTCCGGTGTGTTTTTAATTTCCCTTTTCGAAGAGTCACCGTCCTGGGGACTAGAAAAGTTGTGTCCCCTACCTTTACCCCTTTGTTCCCCCTTGACGACAAGTAATTTTCAACAAACATTGCGCTGTGAACTCACGAAATCAAGTTCCCCTAGGAAAACGAACAAACGCAGAAGTTGCCATGGCAACGGACCGGCATATTATGTTGGAAGCTGTCCCCGTTGGAACATGCCCGGCGAGCTGACATGGTTGAATCGACTAGTGTATCGTTTTCGCGTCGTTGCAACATCAAAGATAATGATGCATTCTTTGAATGGGGACTTCTTCCTGTGTGGGTGAGGCCGTCTTGCAATCACCCAATCGTGTGAAGACATCCAAGGAATCCGAAAACAAGGGAACCGTAGTGGAAAGGGCCAACTAATGACTTAGCAGCATGACATGTGTGTTATACATAAGTGAAATCAACAAACTTGATAGTGTTCGCTCATTGGCTTGGTGGTAATGTTGGGGAGCCTTCATGTGAATCAATCAGCAACAACGCCAGCTTCTCGGGGTTCCATGAAGACTCACAGACAAAGTGTACCTAATTGGTTGACCCGGATATGACCTCGATTTTCCGAAGAAGCTGGAACTTGAAAAACCCTAGGAAATCCGCTTAACCAATCAGCGGGGCCTGGAGTTGGTAAAGGGCCAGTAATCGATACTTAAAATCCATAAGCAGTCTTCCAGATGCAGATTGCTGCTGATGCGCTACTTTTAAAAGCTGCGCACATCGGAATTCAGAGAGTGAAAAGGTCACGCGTTTGACCTTGTAACTGAGTGAAAAGACGGCACTTCATCCTAACCTTGCGTGTCATGTGACACCACTTGAATTTCAGCTCACACTCAAAAAGGGAGCAAGATGATGAAATTGGCAAGCCTGTCAACAAATGTTTGTCTTTGTCTCCGACTAAATTTCCTCATCAATGGTTTCGTGGCGGTTAAAGAGGTCGGGAAAAGTGCAATTTCCGCTTCTAGTCACGTGACTACGGCACACCTCGTGACGCCGAAAGACAATTTGCGTATGGCACAAAAGCTAAAAGCAACTCCACGTTCAAACTGAAATTACAGCTGCCTAGGCTGGCGGTTGTTGAAACCATAAATGGGGTAGTTTTCTGCGTGTGTTTTGTAGCTGGGTGCGTTACTCGTTTAATGACGCTACGGGCAGAAAGCAATCCACAAAATGTGTACTATTAGCATGTTTTGAATACTCTTTAAAAAGCATTTGGAGCGCATGGATTAGTCACGTGACTGCAAAACAGTATTGTAACTGCAACCCCGGAAAAAAACGTGGAAGTAGAATCAAAGGTGTACCGAAACGTGGATAGTTACAGGACACGGAGAGTCCAGCACCCATTTTCGAATGCGTCGGCTTGATTAATAATGTGTGTCGACAACTTCGGACTTCCTCTGTGAACATTTTCGGCGCCACAGAACCACCACTTGTTCGAGGGGCTGAAATGTACTCTCACTCTACTTACACGATGTGGTGAATGTTCGTTCCACGTCGCCGAGTTATCGACTGATCCTGGAGACGAACGCATCTCCGTTATTTACACATTCCTGTGAAGGCACTCCCGTCAAACCACACTGCCTGGTGTGTGAACATGTGTTTGGCATGGGGCGAGAAGACGGTGAGTGCATCGAACCACACATAATAAATTGCCTGCTTTATCGGCATGTTTACCTTACCTGTGGAATAAACATTACGTGCATCATGGGAACGACATGCCTGTCACAGCACTCAACACCGGATGCACTGCAGTGCCATCGGTGACGGTTGTGGAGGTGAAAGATCACTCGCTAACAGCGGTGCCTTGTCTTCAGCATTCAATGACCCCCTCCATCTCTATCTCCCATGGAATGTACACACTTCAGACGAAGAGTCAGCAACTGTTGGAAACTGTTCTAGATTTGTAGATCAAATTGCCCTGCAAGTTCACTATGAGTTAGTTAAATCACAATTTATTCCTCCGCAGCCAGTATCCGTGACACACGCCTTTAGAGTTGGTCAAATTTACGCAAGTGGCGCCCGACCTAAAGTCACCACGATGTTGGCACAGACTGATTCAGCGATTCGCTGGAATAAAGTGCGCATACCCACGCTGGCATATATCTCATCGTCGTAGTACGTGCCTAACATCCGGCCCAGTAAATAATGTACCTTCGAATTCTCATCGGCTGGTGGACTTGACGCAGCCACCTCCACCCTCTCCACCGCCGCCGCCACTGTGCACCGTCAGGGCGAGATTTACAGCACCCGCCCACCCCACACCGCCAGCCTCCATAACTCTTACTGCCTCGTTCTTATCTTCCATTCACCTTACGTGGAGATAAATCAAACCACGCAATCGCCAAGACATCCTCAGGCCATCACTTTACAAACTCGGTGGTGATTATTCCGTCCATGGATCTGTCGAATGGATGGTTGCAACATCAGTGATGGTGCATTCCATGCTATCGGAACACGGACGTGGGGTTCAACCCAGTTTCACAGAGAATGAAGTGAAGGAAGTGACTGTGCAGGTAGAGAATGAAGTGAAATATCGGACCAATGTGAGGAAAAGGCACTTCTTGTGATGATGATGATGATGGTGATGGTGGTGGTGATGGTCGTGGTCGTGTAAGTTGTCAACGTGCTGATAAATTCGCTAACTGACCAACCTCTAGAAGCTTTCTGTACCCCTCTCCACATCCGTTGTCCCACGTCATGCCTTCGAGTTTGACATGATGGCATTGCTGTCCGGTTGACATATACCTGCCAATCTGCCTCTAATGTTTGTTTTGCTGGCGCGAATTCAATTTAAGTGACATTTCCACGATGGTGATCACACGTGATCCAGTCAAATTGACTCGATTATGTTTGGACCAAAGATCCGAATGCCCTGAGTGTTGAGTGGTTTGTGTGACCGGTGATGTGGCGTTGGTAAGGCGTTTTGTCCAAGTGAACACATCAGAGTGAATCGACGCCATGATTCACAGTATTGATTGCGTTGTCTTAGGGAAGGCTTCCATTCTCTTGAACACCGCCGACTGCTATCGACACCGCGCACTACCAATTCAACGCCTAGCCTTGTTATGGGCCCCAGCATGTGGCCTTGAACCACGCCGGGACCACGGAATTAACCCTGGCCCGATTACGCTTCCCTGATTCCCCGTGATGAAGAAAAAGAGCGGAGAGGACGTGGACACAGCCGTCTACTTCAGAGCTCAACCACGTTGATGTCGTTATGTCATATGTAGGGTTTGGGCATTTGTATTTATACCACAAATGCGTAAGTGAAAGATGCCCTAACATCGAGACCTAGGTGTGAGGATAATCCAGAATGTTTATATGAATGAAGGGGAGTTGAGGATCCGCGCGGCTGGCGACATGCTGCGAAAAGGGGAACCCTGTGTCGAAGGCTGGAGTGATCGGATTAGCAAAGAAGAAGAAGAAGAAGGTTTCATGCATTTTCGACCACAACCAGCCACAACTAACGGTGATTTGACGGCGTCTTCATGTTCAACTAAAGGCCCTTTCAAACAGCCGACATCTCATATGTACACACACACACACATCGTCAACCAAAACGGCAAAATGGTTTCCCCACACACGTAGGCACAACTTCTGTGACTGCTTCAATGCAAATTCGACAGCACACGAGCGAACTGTGAAGTCCACGTTGGCGTTTCCTAATTGCGTAACAGCAGGTTTGGAGAGAATACGGCACGAGACTTTTTGTGTGTTTCCGTCCAAACTCGGCGGCCTGCTTCCTCCCCCCCCCTTTTGGCAGTCAAAGTTCCCTTTAGGCAGAAAAAGAAGCTGTGGTTGTGGAAAAGCCCGTAGCGGAGAAAAAAATTGGCACATCTTGAATGTGAAATGAAAAAGCACTCGAAGGCTGGGACTGTGGAGGACACCGAAATTGAATGAATTATTTTGCCTGACTACTGAAATAAAAAAGGTAGTCATGTTGCACCAATATTTGCTCTCAGGGAGAGTGACTGCCATCTCAACGCGAAATTCAACAAGAAGCAGCCGGGCTAAGATTTCGACTTGGCGGAAACGCTCACTGCATTGACTCAAAATCGCCTCGCACAATGAATATATCGATGAATTTTAGGTAACATCTCGCAATCAGAATTTGATTTTAACAACAGTGCAGCGACGTAGTTGGGCGCAGACATATTAGACCGCGCAGGCCTCAGCCAATCATCTGCAGCGTCTTAGTAGTGTGACTCCTATTGGTCAAAGTCCGCCTTCAGACTTATCAAGCTCATTTTCGTGTCTAATAGGCAACCAAATTATTTGGTCGGACAAGTAGGGGTTGCAATATGTTGAAGAGCGACTAAGTTGAGCGAGATCAAGGCCAAATGGGGTCACAAAATTCTGAAGGCCTAGTGGGTGAGTCAACCAATCGGAACGCCGGCAGACACAAATCCGATGACCTCAATATGAGCCCGTGGGGACTAACATCGACTCCACTACCCCCCCCACCCACCGGTCGATAATTGAAAAGAAACAGCTTGACTCAGCGGCATCAATTTATTCATCAGGGGCAGTGATTTCACACAATGAAGGAAACGTGCGCACACACACACACACACACGTCTTTTTGTACATACAAACACACCGTATCGCGTAGAAAAATCGACGTCTGTGGTGAACAGACACACAATAAAATGAGGAGGCGGGTGGAAGTGAATGAAAACTGATGAGATATGCACACGATGAGAGCGACGAGGCAGGCAGCATTACTGCTTGTTGTTCTGTTGTTGTTGTTGTTGGGTGGGGTTGGGGTGTTGTTTGAGGACGGGGGCGGGGGGCCTGCGGGGGGAGGAGACAGTGGCGGCGGCGGCGGCGGTGGAGGAGGAGCGGGCGGACACGGAGTGGATGCGCGAGAGGAGCTGGGGGTCGGAGATGACGCCGCCCCGCTGAGCGAACTCCAATGCGGACCCCCGCGCGGGATGCGTGGTGAGGTGGCGTTGAGCAAACACTGCGGTCGCGTGGTGATCTTTGCGCTGTTGCGCGTGGTGCACAATCGTGGCTCCGCCTCCACCACCACCCCCGCCACCTCCGCTGCCCGCAGCGCCAATCACCGTGCCCGCGTTGGCGGGGAGGGTGCGCACAAACTTCTGCGCCGGGAAGGTCGTTGCTCCGCACAACTAAAACAAAAATACGTGATTGGGTGGTGGTGGTGGTGACCTCAACCGTCCACGCGAATAAAAACCCGTTTTTGACCTTCCACAGGCTTGTGACGCTGTCCATGAACACGGACACTCCAAGTCGACGTCATCCAAGGCTCCAGGACACTAAACGACCAGTCTAAGTTAATCACACAACCGCTCAGAATAGCAACCGATAAACAGCACATTCGGCGTTTGCATCAGCTGGGAAACACCTACAAGAACTTGGAAGTTGGGAGCGAACACGACCTAGATCAACCCCTGAACACACATGCCCATCATGGCTTGCCCTTCGGCACCAAGAAGTGAATGGACGTCCTGTGCAAAATTGTGACGGCCGATGACGGGACATCTGCTTGAAGAAGAAGAAGATTCTCCAGTGTATGAAGGGTGCGCCTTATTACGAACGCCTGCAAACTGGTCGTCAGACGGTGGCTGCGCAACGCTACAGTCGACAATTGAGCAGCAGCAGCACGCCTTAGTGGCTAAACAGTTCCAAAACGCTGGCCGACGCGCGTAAAATCGTCGTCGTGGATGACTCTACTGTCTCAAAGCCTGCCATAAGCTTAGACCGCGACGGTGTTCATGCGTTACTCGAGGGATGGCGCGAGGTCATGGACGATGGTGGACATGAATAGATTGGCTGAAAAACCAGCACACAAATTAAGCCAGTCTGTTAGGGAAAAAAGGCTTTACCGTCTGCCGAGGACGGATAATCTGCTGCAGACCCTGGGAGCCAGTGGCGAGGAGGGTGATGCCCGTGGCGGTGCCCGTGGACGTTCCGGGGGAGCCGCTGGGGGTCTGGTAGAGCACCGAGCCGGGTCGTGCGCCGGTCGCGGCAGCCAACACGGTCACGCCTCCGCCGGTGGACTGTTGAGACGCAGAGCCCGTGAAGGAGACGCCACCTGCGCCTCCACCGGTGGCAGTGAGGGTCACGCCTCTGCGCACCAGTGTGGGGTTGCTCTGGAAACACGCACACACACACGTAAGGGGGTTAGGAGCAAGGCGACGCAAAAGCGTACTCCCCGACGGGGCAAGCACTCACCGAGAGAGCGTGACTGCCGGAGCAGACAACAGTGACGCCGGGTCCAGCGGCTACGAGACGCTGCGCGGTGCTGGTAGTGTCGCCGGTGCACGACGTCGCGGTGACTGCAAAGATTTGCTGACCACCACCACCACCGCCACCGACGCTTCCGGCGGTCTGCAGCTGGCTCGTGACGCTGCCAACACGACGCAGGATGCCTGTTGAGGGACTGCCACCGCCGCCGCCGCCGGCGACTTGACGCGAAGGCGTCGTGTAGCGGAAGACAGTCGGCGCGCCGGTCGCGCCGGGACCCCCAGACACGCCTCCGAATGCCGAGGTGGCGGTGGAGAAGGGCTAGAAGAACGAGAACCATCAGGGTAATTTCACGTCTACGGAATGAGAAATGAGCTGGATGCCTGCGTGCAACTCACGAGGAGGTTGGTAGACCGCTGGAGTGATCCACCACCGGTGCCTGAGATTGCAACGATGGTCGGATGATGGTGTCCAGCGGATGTCGATGTGTGCACTCGGGCAGTTGGCACGACGCTGGAGGAGGCAGCGGAGGTGGCCGTGGCTGAAGCCGACGCCACAGCAATAGAGGCGGCGCTCGGCGCGTTGGAAGACGAGGCTGCGGCAGAGGCCGCGGCGGCTGCTGCCTCAGCGCGTTGACGTGCCTCGCGTTCCTCCTTGTTCTTGATCACCATGGCCGGAGTGATGAGGGTGTCGGGAATGATATTGTGCTCCTGAAAGGCAGAAACCACAGTCATCGACACGAACATCCCCGTGTTGAATAAGAAGACAAGTGCCTTGCCTGCAGAGCGGCGATGTGGGATGGATTCTTCTGGATGAATGCAGTGCCTCCAGGCGCAGAAGACGCGGCGGAGTTGGGTGCGGTGGAGGCGGCCGCGGCAGCGGCGGCAGCACGCATCAGCATGGCGGCGGTGGTGGTGGCGGAGGCGGACCCGACGCCGCCGCCGCCACCCGTCGACGCGCCGCCGAAGGTGCCGCGGTGGTGCGCGTGGTGGAGGCTGTGGGGAGGGGGGGCCGCGATGGCCTCTCGAATGCACTTGCGAAGCAAACCGACCACCTGGTTGTCAGGGGCAGCACCGGCGGTCACGGGAGTGCTCGGCAGCTTGATGGGGGCCGTGTCAGTGGCGCAAAGAAGCGACTGAAGGTACTAGAAGAGGAGAGGGAGAACAAAAACAGGTGTTACCAATGACAATTGAGTGGGGCTACCACAGCGGGGACAGACGTACAAGGTAGAAGTGGTAGCCTTTGAGTCGATTGGTGGGGGAGCCAAGCAGACTGCCCGAGTCGTCCTTGTTGGTGGGGGTCGAGTTGAGACCAAGGAGGTTGGACGAGGCAGTGGGAAGCAGGGAGGCGGACAGGCTGCTCTTCAGCTTGTTCTTAACCTTCCGACCGACTATTGACGATGCTGCCTGGTGCTGGTGATGGTAAGTCGGGTGTGTGCTGTCCGTCTTGTCTGTGGTTGCAGGAAAAAAAAACAAAAATTAACCGCAGCCAGAAACACACCCTAGCGCAAACGAGGCGCGAAGCAACGTACCATCGTCACTGCTAAGGAGGTCAACGTTGCTGGCGGCGGGAGACGCGGAGTCGAGGAGGGCGGAGGTGGAAGACGATGAGGAGGCGGAGGCAGCGGCGGCAGCGGAGGCGTTGAGAGCGGACAGAATTCGGTAGTAGGTTAGGAGACACTGACGACTGCTGCGGTAGGAACGGATTGGGAAGAAGTTGTTCACGAAGAACTCAGCCAAACGGAAATTTGGAGCTGCGTGCTGTGGCGGCGGCGACCCTGCCGACGCCAGGTTGTCCGCGGAGGAGGATTGGTGGTGTGGAAAGGCCGAGATGGTTATATTCTGGAGCTTCGTGGTACACTGGTAATGTGAAACAAAAAAAAAACACTCAACAAGTTTATTGATGGTGAAGACTCGATTTCTCCGTGACACCAAAACACGAACAAGAGGTAGGGCATTACCTGAAGCAGACCAGCCTCCTCGTATGGCGACCAATCAGGTGGCTTGCCTTCGTTAAAACAACCAGCCGACGAAGCCGATTGGTGGTGGCCCAAGGTCGAGGCGCCACCGAACTTGAAGGATACCAGACCGGACACGGCGGCGTGTAGGTTCTGCAGAGGGGAAATGCAGTGGAAACAGGGTTAAAAGTGCCTTTTATGGCAAAAATAGAAGACTGCAACGAGACACACAGCTTGGGCTTAATTAGGCCGCGTAAACAACTAGCATCGAAAGCCCCAGTCAACCAATCAGAGAGCTAAGTCAAGGCCACTCAAGGTTAGAGGCATGTGTGATCGCATTCCAGAGGGGTTTTGGCGACAAACTGGGAAATTGGCAGGTGATTTAGCAACAAGTGCACTGAAAAAAAAGACGAACATGGCGGTGGGACGCGAGGGATGGCTGCTTTGCGGAGGGCAAGGCATATTTGGAGAGGACGAGGGGGTTGTTGAGGGCCGCCATGACACCGCCACCTCGTGCGGAGGAGGCCACGCGTCGAATCCTCGCGGCGGGGTTGAAGCCACCGCTGTGGGTTGCCATGCCGACGACACCAGCGACCAGGCGGAAGTCGCGGGCGCAGAAGGGTCGCGGAACGGACACCTTGTGGGTTGGCGAGATGGCGACGACGACGGTGTTGGTGGGCGCAGCGACAATGGCGGAGGCGGCGGCGGCGGCGGCGGTGGTGGTAGCGCCGGCCACCGTGGAGGCTGTGGACAGGTGGTCGAACTGATCGAGGGTACCTGAGCCACCACCTGCAGCGTCGACACCTGCAAGGGTTTACAACAATCAAACACGCATACAACATGCTCCACGACAGAATTCCGCAACCGCTGAACGTACCCTCGAGGTGGGCTGCTCTCGCCGCCGCCGCTGCTGCTGCTGCCGCCTTCGCGTTGGCCGCTCGTCTGGCAGCCATCGCTGCGGCTCCGGTCAACTTGCGTTTCTTCATCGGACCGCCACCGACTGCACCAACTGACGCGCTGTCGAGGCTGTTGCGCGCTGACAACGCCGCGGCCGCCGACCGCTTCAACATGTAACTCATCGTCGACGTCTTCGTGCTCACCGCAGACGAGCCAGACTGGCTGGTTGTCGAGGAGGAGGCAGCAGCAGCGGCACCAGCAGAAGCAGCAGCTGCCGCGTTGGAAGGGTCAAAGTGGGGACCAGTGAGGGCCAGCGGTGGGAGGTCGGACTCTGGTATGGGCTCGGACTCGTAACCCCAAGTGCACGACGCGGCAATCGGCACTCGATTAGCGTTCAATGTGGGCATCGTGGAGGGATAAGTTGGCTCCACCGAACGCAGAACCTCTTCCAAACCCAAGGGCGACCACACCTGGAACCAAACACACGCACACAAAAGCCAAGTTAGATGAGCGCGCTTTTTGAATTCGTGTGCCCCGCGGGATGACACCACCTTATGAGCTGATTACCTATTTGCTCAGTTGTCATTCTTCGGACGTCTAAATAGAGTCCTCATTGTAAGGCAACAAGCATTCTTCACAGTGACCATGGATGCCTAGATTCGCGAACAAGTTGCGTATCAATGCACATCATTTTCCGCATTCTCATTGGTTAATTCAAAAATGCGCCCGTACTTGAAATTCAGGGTTACCCAATCAGTGTGCGTCGCTGGGTCACTGGGCGCCAAGCGCCACTCAGAACGGTGATTTCGATCGATTTCAATTTCAAGATTGTCACTTTAGTTTAACCGCCAATCTTCGCACTGGGTGACCTTGTGGGCGTTAAAACAAACCTTTAATGAGCAGAGCAAACAGCCTGTAAGTGCCCTTCATTAATGACAGAGAACGTTTCGAAATGTCGAAATGTTTTTTTTTTGTGAAAAGGTTGTGAAATCCACTAAACCAGGACCCAAATCTATTCGCCACAAATGCAGCGACTGTTTTGCCTTAACCCAGAAGGAAAGATAGGAATGTTAATTTTCGTGTGTGTGTGTGTGTTTGTGTGTAAGGATGAGGAAATTTCCACTTTTTGGAAAGAAACAATCTAGAAACGGCGGCAGTGACTTAGACAATAATCACTTTCTGCACAGGATCCCATTAAGCCCCAGCAAGAACACAGCAGGCGAGGAAGTAGGAATGACTAAAATCGATGAAAAAAAAGACGGAGGCCACAAGCACGCACCACGTTAAGAGAGTTTTAGAAAGTTGACAAAAAAAGGACCACTGAAGCAGTGTTTTACCAGTCTGATTCACTGACGGAGCGCGCAATTTTCCAAGTTGTCTGCGCAGACAACAGGCTTGTGTGGCATTCCAACACACGCAAACACGCACTAACACACACAACGCCCACTTAATTTACATATAAGGATCACGGTGTGCTACAGGGCTTTTTTACGAGTGTGCTCATGAAAAAATTGTGTACTTTTAGTTTAAAAAAACCGCGAGAAGTACAAGGCCGGTGCGGAACCCTGAGAGGAATTTCCACGGTGGGACATGTGAGCAGACAGCTGCTACGCCCATCGCACCAATGGCAACGCCGGATTTGCCGACATTGCACTGAAAAAAATCGATTTCTACAGCAAGTGGATGGTGAAAAGTGACTCACGGCGAGGTCCGCAACGTCGAACAGCGGTAGAGGCGACGGTTCGTTGTCTTCACTAACTGGAGCGCCTTCAGAGGGCAGAAAGAAGAGGCCATCGGTGTCCGACGTCAACGACTCGAAGGCCTCGAACGCCTCCATCCAGCCGGCCTGGTTCAGCTCCCAGGCCTCCAGCGACGCTGTAGGCTGCTGGATTCCGCCGGTCAAGAGGTCGCAACCATCCAGGGTGTGTTGAAGGGGGTCCTGATAGTTGGAGGTCGCCGACGGTGCTTCCAAGTGCGTCAACTGACAGGCGTGTATTTCCGTGGAGATTGACACGGACTCAGCCAGACCGGAACACCACGCCTGGGTATCGCGCGGCGATTCATACATTTCCAGTACTTGATTGAGCTAGATAGAAAAAAACGCGCGCAACAACAACGCCTTTAAGAGATTTCCACACTGGAGGCTTCCAAAAGTGCCAAAACCCAATGCTACTCACCAGGGCCTCATCCAATGGTTCGCGGTTGTGGAACAGCGAAGCAGTGTCCGACTCGTCATCAGCCGTCATCTCGTCCAAATCCGACTCGGACGGAGCCAGAGGCGGACCTCGGGTCGTCACACCCTGTTTGCGCCAGAGTGCTCGTCTCCGAAGGCAGGAGACGAGTTCTTGCACGATGTTCGGCTGGACACGGGAGTGGGGCTGCGGACGTCGCCTTGAGGTGGCCGAGTTGGCGGCAGCCGAGGCGGGGGACGACGTCGTGAAGACCGAGTCGGGGAGCAGTCGGACGGCCGGTGAGTCGACGAGACGAGCTTCGATGCTGTCGCCGGTCTCCGCTTCGGTTACCAATCGGTAGACGCGAAGTGGCGGCAGTGGAGGCAGCGTCTTGGGGGGGAAATCCACGAGTCCGTTGATCGACCAGCATCGGAATCTGGGAAAACAATGAAGGTAAGAGCCAAACATGCACAAAAATTGGACGCTTCGGGGTGTTGCGTAGGTGAGAACCTACTTGAGCTTTAGATTGTCCACGACATCAGTTCGCCAATCCGCGTCGCAGACAATCACTCGCGTGTCCGGACCGGCCCTCAACCCCGCCAGACTGAGAGACGGGCTGCGAGCGTGCATCAGCACCAAAAGCGGCCCCCTTGAGCCCCCGGGCCAGGCGTTCACCCAATCCAACCAGAAGCCGTTGTCATGGGGCTCCAGGTAATCGATGGGAAACCGGAGACAGGCCAGAGAGGAGAGGTACGGGTCACCCGGGAGCCAGGACTCGAGGAGGTCCAGGAGGGTGGATCGATGGGTGATGAGGAGAATGAGGCGCGGGCGGGTCTTGCTCTTCCCCGGCTTCGATCGAACGAAACGGCACAGGAGACTACGCAGTTTCTGAATTTTGTCTAAATAAAACCAACAGGAGTGATTAAGAGGGGGTTTTTGGGGCCAGTACGCAACATGGACCGGTCCTATGACCCACTGGAAGACGCCAGAAACTGTGGCAGACGACGGGGAAGGGTGTGGGGGGAAAGCCATCGTGACGAAGGCAGGAGAGGGTACAGCCGGTCGCTGACGTCATCCAGGCTTGAAGGCAGAGCATCATCATCATCGTCCAGTTGTGGTGGAAAGCCAATAGCTCCATCACGCGTGCAGAGAACGCCGAAATGAGAGCTGAAAATGAACATGACAGAGGTTACTAGGGGCTACACCTCACACATAGACACACACCAAGACCGACTGACACACCTAGATGGGGGTAGTTTGATGTACTGATTTTGGACAACACTGCAAAGGGAGGAGGCGGTAGTGGAGAAGGGGAGAGGGGAGAAGGAGGAGGGGTGACCGGAGAGGAGGAGGGATTGCACGCGTGACGCGGACTGAATGAAACTCATGGTCGCCGAACTGCACCAATCAGCGTAGCCCTCGAGATTCAGTCGTGCGAGCTGTGATTGTCGCTCCAATTGGTGAATTCGAGTCTACAAGGAGGCACGAGTGGTAAGTATGCCGATTGTTGGCGTAAATGCTGAAAGAGTACGGAAGATAGACGGCCTCCTCACTTTCACGTCGATTGAGGGAATCGCTGAAATCGGCTCGACGGAAGCTTCCGCAGAGGGCTTGGCCGACGTAGATGTACCTCCGGTGCTGGGGGGCAATGTCTTTGATTGGGCGATAGTCTGCTGCTTTTCGGAGACTTCACGAACACCACCTACAACCAACACACGAATGTCACGGACGGGAAATACGTTAGTGGGGGACAGTGGGCTAGCGCAGGACGTACCAAGAGCTGCCAATTTCGCCGACTCCTCCAGAAGCAGGGCGTCAAACAGTTCGCGTGTGATGAAGGGAAGGCCGCAAACAGGCTCTGGAGCACCCACTTTGGTGATGGGCACTGCGGTCTCGATTCGCGGTTTCTTGGCGCTGCACGGCGAACTGCCAATCGCGACGCCGGCCTGACGCTTGGGAGGGGAGTGCGGCGTGAACGCCCGCCTCAGCTGCTCGCTACTCGGCAGTAGCTCCACCAATCGACGTCGGATGTGCGCGGGGGCACCGAGGGAGGTCTGCAGCAGGGGTAGGGGTGAGGTCTCGTCGGAGCGGAGTTCCCGAACTGCGGAGAGGACGGCGGACGGCGTGTCGAAGTGCAGTAGGCTGGTGACCAGTGGTGCCGGTGAGGGCTTGTGATCCTCCGCCAACCACAGCGCCATCGATTGAACCTCGTCCGGGGAGCAGAGCAGCCACGGGTGGACGCAGACGCTGGCGCCAGCGGACACGCACGTCAAGAGGTCGGTGAGGTGGCCGGACTTGACTGCGCGTTCACACCTACAGGGCAAACGAACATGAAGCTAGCCGATGGAGGCGGCGGCACGACACATTCTTTGAAGGAATGCAAAAAAAACTAACGTTTTGTCGGTCAGGATTTGGTCGTGCAGGGCGCGCTGCTGTTCGGTCAGACTGTTGGACACGGTCTGCTCCTTCACAAAACATTCAAAGTCGTCGTCTTCCTCGAAACGAAAGAGGAACGGCTCTAGGACCTGAAAGGAGACACGTGATTGGTTACAAGGCAGGATTCGCGATTTGACAGCGGGGAACAACCAACTTTGTTCTGCGCGAGTGTGGAGTGTCAAGAGGACATTCTAACTACCGGAAGTGAGGAAAAAGGACACAGGACGGGGATGAAGGTGGGGCAAGTTCAACTCACCCTAACAACCTCATTTCGGATGAAAGGCAACCCGGGCTCTGACTTGATCAAACTGGCCTCCCGAACAGCCGCGTCGACTTCGAGAGAGCACGTGAGCAGAGCGAAGAGGGACTTCAGGTGGGGGGTGCGAGCGGCGCACAGGTCGGCGGCGAAAATGCACACGCGCTGGCGCACCGGCTGGAGGAGGCGGTGGACGAGGAAGGCCACCATCTCGGGCGGGTGGAAGTCGCCGTCGAACAGGCCGGACGCCGATCCCTGGACGCCGTCGTCGGCGGCGGTGGCGCCGCCCACAACGCTGCTCTGTTCGCTGGCGCTGCCTGCGTCGCGCGGTGGTCGGGTCATGAGCGCGGGGTCGCCGGGCGTCGCGACCAGATGCTGCGCCTGGAGTGGGGGGAAAGTTGGGAGGGGGGGGGGTTGATTAAAATCACACGAAATCTACGTGATTATCTCAGGCGGATAGACGCAAAGCCAACCTCACGGATGTGTGGGTGTTTCTGTGACTGAGAGCGAAAGTAGAGGCTTGTGGTGGAGCAAGGATGCGATGGAGGGTGTACGTCAGTTTTATGCAACGCAAGCCACAAACACACATCTGTAAATAACTACTTTCAACGGTGATTATTGACTTTTGGAAACAGGTTATTGCCAACCAACACCACGACTACCAAGGTCGTTTTTTACCAACACGACTGCATCACCCACGAGGTAATTGGTGCGAAATAGAATGGGGTTAGGGGACAAGAGGTTGATTTTAAGCCCACATAATCCATGGAGCCAATCTGCACCAACGCGTGTCCTCCTTAGGGTGAACAAGTGTTGCAAAAGGTGAATGGGGCACCTGATCGAGGATAACCACGTGCCAGGGCACGCCACAGAAGCGGCTGGGACGCGAATTCAGCGCGGCGTACGTCGTGAGGCAGATGTGGACGCGGCCGCGGGCAAGGCCGCGTTTGAGGCGCCGGCCGGTGCCGCCGCGCGACTCGCGCACCACGCAGACCGTGCGGAGACCCGGACAGACGGCGGAGAGGCGCGCGCGCCACGCGGACAGGAGGACGCGCGGACACACGACCAGATGCGGCCCCCAGTCGCCGCCGCCGCCACCAGTCTGGACCGCGAGTTGACCCAGGTGCACGGCCAGAGCCAACTCGGCGTCTGCGGAGGCGGGCGAAAACGACACCAGACCGGAGGGAATGCGTTGGGCGTAGGCAGCACTCAACCACGACACCGCAGAATCTGTTGGGGGCAAACAAAGCGGGCGATTTCTCACATACCACCGCCAACAATGTCAACAGGCTATCTTCCCATGAAGCTGGCCTACTACAAAAACCGTGCCAAAATTGTCCACAAGCCTTCGGTGGGTCGCCATAGTAACGAGCTACGAGGTGCTGTAGGGGCGGCCAATTAAGTCCCGTGTTTCGATCTGGCCAGCAAGAACCAGAAAAGGCAATTAGACCACCTGACTAAGGCGATTTATCTCGGCCAAGGTAGCTGCATTAATGCCTACTGTCAGCCAGTGATTGCGTCATTCCAAGCGGCATTAACTGCCGTCTAGGTGGTTAAAGAGGGCTGTGCCACTGCGCTACAGTCTGCAGATCAGCGAATTTCTGGGAATGAGAAATACTGGCTTAACAGCGATGCTAGAGATGGTGCTTTTTCACCAAAACAAGCCTAATTTTCACAGGTTTTTTAAGAAACGTCTTTCATTTTGTGATTGCGACAGCTCACGAAATGCAAATTAATCAAACAAACACACTCCCCATTGGTTGATTTGCGTGGCATGTGACTTCTGTGCAAGCACAAGTCGTTGTGGGGACTAATTGCGGCAAGGTTGTCAAAAATATCGTACAGACACCGTCTAGCAGACCGGAAACACCACAGCCTAGTTGCACGACGCTGACTACACCGGATAAGCCTGCCCGAAACCAACTCGAAGTCAGTCAATGCCGTCGATGTTCACACGATTGATGTGATGAGGGGTGAGCAATTTCTAATAGACACCAGGAAGCGGAGATTGCTGGGCGTCAACTACCAATAAGCAAACTAGGAATCGGTTGCCAAGCAAGCAACCAATAGGAAATCTGTTTGTTTGGAAATACCGCCAAACAACATTAATTAGACCTGTCAAATGGGCTTGTTTTTTGCCGTGATTCGTGCCTGTTGTTCCGACGTTTTGTGAGCTTCTACAGGTACACGCGCAGGTGCCAAAGAGGAAGACTGCTGTGAGACAATCGCAAGTCACGTGACTCAGTCGTGTGCGTGGGGGAGGGGGAGCGTAAACAGACCAGATTGCAACAAGAAAAGGCCCGGGCAGTACTCACACAAGGTTTGAGTGGGCAGAAAGGGAACACGACAGGTTGGTCCGAAGGCGGGGAGATGAGTTTGAACAAGCCGCTTGCTGGTGGCCGCTTGAAGGGGATTCGTCTTCCAATGAGCGATGCCACGGGCTCTCCGAGCCAGCTCACCGGGCGACATCGCCTCTGGCAGAGGTGTCGGCAAAGACGATGCCTCGGAGACGCCCGACTCGGAGACGTCGTCGGCGTCTTCGGAGGACTCGACGAGGCCCGCATCGGTGTCCGGCGTGTCCTCGTCTTCGCGCTCCTCACTGTCCTCCGCGACCTCGTCTGTCATGGCAACGGGCGAACCGCCGTTCACAAGAGGCGGTCGGCCTACTCGACGCACGGACTGACGCCGGCGCGCCAACGACGGCTCGCCTCCGTTCACGGCCGACGCGCTGATTGGCTGGTAGCCTGGTGGAAGGAGTTGTCGCAGCGGAAGCGTTGCATCGTGGCGCAGGCTGTTTACGGTCGACTGGTAGGCTGACTCCTACAAAAAACAGAGGAAGGGGGATTGACGTTCAGCATGCTCTTGCCTTTCTGCCAATGCAACAAAGACCATGCATAGAAGCACAAAGAACTGCACATTAACTTGGTTAATCAGAAAAAAAAACACATGATTGTAGGTCGTAAACTACCAGCACAAGTTTGCACATGTTTACAGACTTGTGAACTCAGCCATCTCGTACACGGTCGCTGGTCGTCAAATCGGCTTAGGGGGTGTTACACAGTATTTTGGCGACGTGATGCAAACAAATTTTGCGCTACGACCACGTCGACACCAACAACGGCACCACAAACACTGTTACAAGCGGATTTCGGTGGATATCGATGGTTTGCGAGTCCCACTGAGGACTCCTTTTTTTTCATTTTCTAGTAAAATAATCAATAACAATCATTGCATTGGATATTTACGGGAAAATATTTTAAAGCTTTGCACTTGTCAGTGTCTCGATTACACCACATCGCCGTCTACAAGGGGAGAGCATTCTAGTGGGTAGTGACAAGTGTAAAAACACTTATGGCACGACGTGCTGCAGCACCACGAACACACTCTATGACGCACGTTCACTACAGCGCTGCTTTGCATTTAGAATGATTGTTTTTGCATCTACAAACTCACGCGCATCCAATCACTGGTAAATAGGCCGTTCTACGCGTTTATCTACTGATTTACTCGGATTAAGACCTGTGTAGAAAAACGTAGCCAGCATGATCCTTAAGCCAAAACATCTTTAACACTCCTGACGCGAATCAAAATCTGTTTGCAAAATCGTTGACAGTACCCTAGTGAGTATGGTTCAATCAAGGAAGACTAAATGTACACATACCGTATCACTTGAGCACATATCCTTTTCCACTTCATTACAGTCGGAATCAGGCAATTCATGGGCCTTCATTTGACGTTTCCAGCCCTTGGAGATGTAGGGCTCCAATACCTCGTCCAGAGGTAATTCGCTTTCAGCAATTAGCATCGCCAAGTCCTCCTTATCGGTGTCCAATGAAGAGGACACAGATGAGTCGGTTGAGGCTTGACCATCATGCGGAGACGGTGGCGACCGTGGCACAGCCGGCACCGACCGCGACTGCAGGCCCCAGGCGAAGTTGTCCCAGCTGTAATGTCGCGACTTCGAGTTGGTGTGCCCCAGATCAACCAGGCTGTCAAAGCTGCTGCTGCTTGTGCTACTACTACTGCTCTGATTGGCTACTGGAGGGAGCCAATCCTTGTCTAGCTCCTCTAGTGCAGCATCGGTTATGCAGACGGGCGGAGGCAAGGATTTTCGGGGTGGAGATCGACTAATAGCGCCAGAGACCCAATTAGGGAAGGTGTCAGTTAAGTGAGCGAGAATGGTTCGATTTTGGTGCTGAGTAAGGTGCCATTGGCGGTGCTTAGCTAGCAGCGACATGGAGTCCAGGGAATCTGAAATGCCTGACCACCAGTCACGCACCATGGCTGCAATGAGTGCGGCACCTTTTCGACGCATTTCATCCAGCGCCTCGGCCTCTTGGCGTGAAATCTCCGCCTTCAAGAGACAGTACATGCGAGCAGCATACGCCAACTAAAACGGTGCCAAAATCGACAGTAAAATAGGTGCACAACAAAGCAATGAGCTGGCAAACTAGGAAAATAATCTTACTTTCCGCGCTACATCACGCTTCCACTTTCGCTCCTCCCTAAAGTCAACCGCCATCCAACGCACCTCGTCCAACAAATAATCCCAGTGCGATACGCCTCGTTCTGGCTCAAGAACCTTCGGCAGTCTACTAGCAGACCAGAGGCCCTGTTTGGCAAGTTTGTTAATTTGCTGCAGCACCGATGCTTCCCGTTTCGCCTCCTGAGCAATTTCCGTTTTCGTGTCGGGCCGTTCTGGGATAGTGCTTTCTTCGTGTGGTGTCGGATGACGCGACGAGCATGAGTGCTTGTGCGGTATATACACGTAGTGCTGAATGGCTTTGTCACCACTCGTTCGGGTTCCGAACCGAGGAAGGTGAATGGAAGAGGACTTTGAGGCTGCGGGAAGCGGTGAGTCGGATTGTCGACAGCGATTTATTTGAAAAGCATCAACAGTCAGAATAGGCAGTTCAGGAGTCGAAATAAGCGACGACTCCAAATCTAGGAGATCAATGTCGCGCTGGGTAGCATTTGGATTGCTAAGAACAAGTCGAAGTATGTTACGCTGACAATGAGATGAAACAGGCTGTGCGTCTGGCTTCGAAATAGAAGAGCCGACTTTTAAAGTTCGTCGCTTGTTTACCATTTTGAGTCGATTTTGCCTATAAAGAAGAAATATCACTAACAAAAAAGCACAAACACAGACTACAAAGCAAACTACACGAAGTGATCGAAAGAGCTAGTAACGCAGATCTTCAACATTTATTCAAAATTATACCCAATAGCATACAAAGATAAACTTAAAAGATTTGAACTGACACAGAATTAAATAAGCCAACAAGGAGGCGACTGATGCGTCGTATTGCCAAATAAAAGTTGACAAACAAAATACAGCAGAACTTTAGTTCTTGACTTAAAACATGAATTCTCTCAACAGAAATCATCAGAGCTGGTGGAATGAAAAACTCTAAAATGAATCACTGTTTTATCAAAAATTGCAATTTTTAGACACAGCAGGAGCAGACTTTGAAATTTATGGAAAAAAAATGTCACTGGAGGATGAAAGAAAAAAATTTGTACCCGCAAGACGGAAGACAAATTTAGAATGACATACCGCGCACCAACAAGTACTAATATAATCAACATGTGCAGATTTCCCAAAACAAACAAAACGTCACCAAGTTGCTCATAATGTATACGAGATCAACAATGACGACAAAAAGAAAACAAAGGCAGTCAAGTTGAGACAAACAGCCAATAAATCTAACGAATTCAAGCTATTCAATCATCTTAACTCACATGAGAACAAAATAGAGTGTAAATATAGCGAAATGGCATTAAATACTTGACCTTAATTTCACACACTAAGTGAGCTCACATCAAGCAACAAAACTTTGAATTGCGCGGTGAACAAACCGTGCAATGAGGAGATTAATCGAATATGATCGGACCTTAGCTCCTATTGGTGTACGATTCCACATTTTCAAAGACTAAACAAACTGTCAAAAAAAACTTTGCGACAACTTTTTTGCAAAAGATATAGCTAGTAATGCTTTAAACATTTAAAAAATTTTTTAATTAGACAGAAAATGTAAAACTTATATGTTTCGAAGATCACAGAAGTCGAACTAGTTACAGTATTTATTCCTCAATTTCAAGCTATAATTATTTTATTGGGTACTGCATATTTATTATTTTGCCATATTTTTTACTAAGGCACTTTACGCATAACGCTCACCTACAGTCATTACAAACTCAGCTAACCCATATGTCTATTTATTAACACTTCATATTCAGTTTGCATTATAAGCCTTACTATTTCAAAATATACCTAACTTCAAGAAATAGATCTACATTGGTTCTATGCAGAAGGTGACTTCTTATTAGTAAAAATAAAAAAAAGTAATCAGGAAGTGCTTAGTCTAGTTCATTAAAAATAGTACGTAATAAATGTAGGCAATTGTTAAAATGCCCACATGTATTTTAGCTCCTATAGATATCTCTGTGCATTCCAAAATCTCATCAACAAGTCTCTATTATCTTAATTATACCAATTGTTAGGCAATGAGAAGGAGAAATGTTTTGAATTTATTTTATAGACATTTTAGTGGAAGGTCATATATGTGTGCCAAATTTTAATCTCACATTCCATGATTTGTTTGAAAAGCAAAAAAAAATGTTATCAGAAACAATGGATTTCCAAGATATAATTTTAACATATAATTTTGGACTATAAATAAAAAGTTTGTCTAACTGTTCAAAGTTATCCCTTAACATTTGCAAATCTTATTTCAAAAACGTAAAATATTTCTTAAAATATGACACAAAGTTTTTTTAAAAGAAAATTTTGGTGTTTTAGCCAAACGTCTAGTTTGGAGAATTTAAAGTCACGAGCGTAGGGCGATGCCTTTCATGTTGCTTTGAAAGGTAAAAAAATTATAAAAATTATCTCTTTGTAAAATTGTCTCTTCTATAAGATTTAAATAAAATTTGAAGTTAAAGACGAGTAAACTCCTGACTGATGACACTTTGGTACATTTGCCGATGCATAAATAAGTGAAACAAATTTAAGCCGTCACAAACATCACTCGGAATGCCATTACAAATCAATCGCAATTTAAATTGACTAAAAACCTAAATTCTCATATTTATGGACGCGTGTGTGTGTTTACTAATCGATGGCCAGCGTTGTGGAACACAATGAACTGTGATTATAATGCCAAGTTCGTTGTACGATTTTTACTTAAAATTGAATTCGCTGAACATATTGTGAATGTACATATTTTGAGGCAGCCCTTTTTAAACAATACGAAATGTCAACAGAACAATCAAAAAATAAATATATGTATTTGCCAATATTTGCAAGCATTGTCATGGTAGGAAATAAATTGTAGAGATTTCAATAGTTATCGGACTTCGTTGATTAGAGAAATTTTGGATTTTATAGCCTTTATGACATGCCTAAGCATTGTTATCTAAATTGCGATGCTGTATGCAATACATGTTTTTTTTAAACTCGAAGATAAGCCACTTATAAATCACGAATATGTCATTCACTAATTAGTCGTATTTCTGTGAACGATTCAAAAACAAATACCGTATTTATTGACGTATTTGCAAATTTTTAATCAACTTAATAGCAGAACGTATATTGATTGCAATAGCACATATTTTTGAAAAAAAATATTTGCAGAGTGGTTTTTTAATTTTTTGTTTTAGTATTTGTTTAGAGCTATTAAATTCCTAGATCAGTGTGAGGTTATTTTACGTCCAGCCGCGTGTTTCGGTGTCGCGTGTTGCTGGGCTGTGATGTGATGCTTGCCGCTTTAATATTTTTTCCTTTTCTTGATCTTTTCTTTCTTTGTTTTGCTAATATATTTGCATGTTTATTGCTAAAGTGGTAGTTTGCTGCGTGGAGGGACAAACAGTTTTCTACTTTACGCGATTGTTTTCTGAATTTTAAAGGGATATTTTGTTTAATTTAGGAGTATCATTCGAACATGAAATCAGACCAACAAAAAAAACCGGTTACCGTCGTTGTTATACCTGACAAGTATCAGGCTTATGAGATATCCCACTTCTGTGTATCTCCAAAATATGTGGAGTTTCTCGACAGGCTGATGATTCCGAACGGGCTAATCAAGGACAGGTATTAATTGTGCTCTTTTGCTTTCTACTCATTAAGAATTGAAAAAGTGGCGTCGGAGATAATAGAGCATTTTGAGAGCATTAAAGCCCAGCATATTACCATGATGTGTGTGCTGAAAGGCGGTTTCAAGTTCTTTGCCGACCTAATCGATGCCATGGAGCGCACCATCCGAGCTCGGGGCACCCCCATCCCCATTTCTACCGATTTCGTACGAGTCCGCAGTTATGTGGTAAGCTATTCATTGTACATCGCTTCTAACTCAGTAGAATGCGTCCTCCAGTAATTCTATTCAACTAAATGGTGTTGAAGATCCATCAAGTTACAAAGGAAAGGCAAGTTCTCCTTCGTGAATCTAAAATACTTTAGGACATATTGATTGTGGAAGATATTATTGACACGGGAAAAACTATGACGGCTTTACATAAGTACCTAAATACTCTTCAAGCACGATCGGTCACAGATGTTAGGTAAGTCAACTACTTGTATTCATTTGAACCCAAAATGAAATGGACAGCCTATGCAGAAAGAGCTGTGTGTGAAAATTACGGTTATCTTTTTTACTGGTTTGTACTTGGTGCTTATTTGGCAACCATGAATACTCTCCACGCATCTATAAATTACCAATTATCTATTGATATCCCATTTTGTCTCTCCGTGCAGCCTTCTGCTTAAGAGAACGCCATTAAGCTGTGGATATCGGCCTTATTGTACGTTTGCTATTTTATTGATTTACCGGGCTCGTCGCCTTTTCCCTCCAATTGACTCCACATTTTAAACTTCAGTTGCGGGCTTTGAAATTCCTGACGACTTTGTCGTTGGATACGCTCTGGATTACAACGACTACTTCAGGGACCTTCATGTAAGACAGTCATTTTTTGCTTCCCCCCTAACTGTCATCAAATGGATATTTACTCGCGGTTTTTACCTTCCCTTTCAGCACATCTGTGTAATAAATAATGCCGGAATGGAATATTTCGCCGTGCCTGATGATAAAAACCGTTTGGCAGATGACCCCAAGTCCTCCGACTAAATCTCCTATTTACTGTATTTGAAGATTCACCTGCGTAACATTCCTATGCTGGGATAATCATTCTCATTGTCGTGTCTCAATCATGATTTTTTTACAATAAAAAAGAGTGGCCAACTGTAAACCTACTTCTCTTTCTACAATGGTGGTTTTGTGTCGCAAGCATTGCTGTGAGAGGGCTGTACTCTGGTCTGCCTTTATTCGGTTATTACCAAATCACGTAATTATTGGATTCGACGGTTATGGAGCTGACTTTTGTGTCCCATTTTGTGCTGGCGGTGGAGATTTCCTGCGGCGGGACTTGGGTCATTATGGTTGTACTAAAGCTATCGTTGCTCAACGGTCATTGGCTGGTATTCTGAGCCTTGATTGGGTGTTCCTGCTAGGCACTTGGACGGTACTTTCTGGCACAATCCCTCAACATAATTACGAAACTGAAAAGTCGTCTAAATACTAAATAACTGAGTTCTTTTTTGAAAACTTCAGCGCTAACAATTTACTGGGAAAAACGAGGCGTTCAGGTGTTAGCTAGACAAAATTCCCTATTTTGTTGTTGATCTGTTTGAGGAGGTTTGACAGGGATGAAATTGGCATTCTGTCAGATGGTTTGAGGCCTTAAAATTTGGCACACATCGCTCTCAGCATGACTTTGAATCTGTTTGATTGACACTGATGTTTACGAGTTAATTTCTACGACGTAAGCAACTTCACCGTTTCTATGGCAATCTTGAGGCCACAGAAATATTTCTAAAACGGAGTAAATGTGCCCGATTTGAAAGCTATCTAAACTCTCAGATGGAAATTGTCAACAGCGTTTGTAAGGGAACTTTTGAGAAAGAACAACAACCAGAATTAGCGAATTAAAAGGGGTTTGGTGAGAAATGTCTCAAGTAAGCGAGCCTTTGCGCCATCAGATTACCGCATTGCCGCTTTACTGATGAATTCACAGTTGGCTCTGTTTGTTGGGGGACTCAATCGTGCGGTAAACATGTCACATCATTTTTGCGCAGTCAACAGCAGCTCTTGTCGAAGCATTTAACTAGGCAACATTGATAACAACCGCACTTGCGTTTTGCCAATGTAGGGCACTGTTTTGATAGGTTAAAAAGATTGACAGGAACTATTCCCACTGCCAGTGTCATTCCCCGTGGAAAGAATCTGGTGTGAACCTACTGTGCGATACCGAGAATGCTGAAAGGATGGAAATAACCGTGGTCTTGTTGGAGAAAATGGTTGTCCGTACATTGTCCCAAATTCCTCAACAATTAAATATCCTAGTTTTATGTAGCCTGTAGCCACAAAATTGCCATAATTTGTTATTTGTAGTTTAAGATATGGCAAACACTGAAATTACTGGAGCTGTAACAGTGGGATGCGTCGTTGTAGCTCAAAAAATTGGCAAAATAAGCGAGATTTTGGTCGGGACGTCAAGAATCGCAGATGGGGGTTGTAGCCACACGGTCTGTCGACACGTCAAGGTGATGGGCGTGCGTGTTCATACACACACACACACACACACACAAAAACTCGGACACCAGTTAAACCTGACATCCGTTAATGGCCAAGTTGGGCGTTTGGCATCGACGATGATTGATAGCATCAAGCCGTTTCACGAGGCACGGCGTGTACGCTAGTCTCACACCCTACAACAATCTGCTTTGTCTGCGATGTACTTTGCGAAATCGGATTTGATATAAAAAAAATAACGTGACAACAGCGGGTCTCAACAACTTAAAAGAACACACACAACAGTCACACAGTGCATGGGAAAGATGTTGAAGCCATAAAGGAGTCTATTAAACGAAGCGGTAAACTGTTAATCTGACTTGAAACAATGCGGTTGCAGCAGAAAATATGACAACTTAAGCACACATTCGGCGATTTTCACCTTCCTTTCTGACTTACACGACGTCGTCACGATAACACCTCACAATTAGGTGATATCACTTGGTCAATCACACCCCGTTTGGGACGACAAGCGAATGTGGAGGTGACAACGACAACCGGTTCTCGACAAATTTTTGTTTTAATTGCTGCGTATTCAAAAAGACCGCCGTCACTTGCTGTTGCCTTGGTTACAGTCCAAGCTGGCCTTAAATGTTGGCGGTTTGGCATCAAACAATCCAGCCCTACAGATTTACCAGTTCCACGACTAACTGAATAGCCGTTAGAGAGTTTCTAAGTAATTGTCGTTAGTCCTTCATCACGCCTAGACATAGTGCTTGTTATTTATGCTTCCTATCGAACTAACATGATCAAAGCAGCTGCTGGGCTTGGCGGAGGACACGATTAACAGTGGTATTTGTGAGTTAAGTATTGGGTTCGTAGATGGTAAAGTTGACTGGAATCCTACGATGAGCGTAATCAAGGAGGTGGCGTAGAGGCATACATTACCACCTAGGACATTGTCCACATCATAGCTCTACAGAAATGTCGTTCTGTTTGGACGGTTCTGGTCAAGACTGCCAATCGAGATTTAGACGTCACGACACGACATGCGTTTACTGAACGGCTTCTCGTGTGCGTTTAAAGTACACAATCCGGCCACGCGTGTGTGTAATTGACCGGGATAGCGACGTCGCGGTTTCTTAGTGGACGATGAAGCCTGCTACAAAGATGGACAAAGTGTGTCCGTGTGGAGACACGAATAAACGGACAAATTCATTCGGAAGGCAACGTCACCGAATTTTGAAGCCCTGTGGAATGATTTAAGTCATTTTTTCGCCGGAGCAACAGAATACCACCGGAAGGGGTGCCAATGATTGCAGGCAGATGCTCAAATACTGTGGATGCCAGTTTCAGGGGAGTCTGCTGTGAAGGTGGAGACGCATCTGCCGACCTAGCACGGAAATTCGACTCACACGTAGATGGCAGTGCCTTGGTCTTTTGAATTTTAGTGACTTGCTAGTACAACCGCACAACTCTCCAGTTTACAACTCTTGTAAGCTCGAAAAGCTAGGCGGCAACCGTGTGGCTTTATGTGAGGATGAGTGAACGGGCGACAGACGACTGATGACGCCAACCAATGAAATAAGGATGAGTCATCGACACATTCAGGTCAGTCAACAGGCCTCACGTACGCGTGATCGCTGTTAATCCCCTAGGGATTGTGTTTGGGCACAAGCGAGCTGTCGCTACGTGGTTCGATAGCCCTGAACTCGGAGTAGAAGCGGGTTCAACAGCGCATTCTGACGCAATACCAGCCAGATCGTGAGTGACCTTATCAGACTAAGTACAATCCGAGTAAAAGCACCCACACAAGGTGGATGACACATTTTGATCGCGATTGTAATTTCTAAACCGTCAGAAACACACAATGACAGGACCGTTTTCTGCGTGTGCAACCAAGCAACCGTCAGCCATGACCTCAAAAAGTACACTCTTGACCTACTTGTCAGAAAAACAAGGCCATAAATAATTTTTCTTGTAACGAGATCTCCTCAATTAATGTAATGATTCAAACTTCTGATTCTTAATTCACCAGACAGACCAAAAAAACAAAATCAGGGAGAGAGGCAGCACCTGAACCTTTTTTTTGCGAAAGAACGTAGCAGGCAGATTTTTCAATACCTGTTTTTGCTATTTGCCAGCTGAAAGTAGCAGTGATTTTTGCCGTTAAATAACACTTAAGTGATAAATCTACTTCAAATTTTGACTTCAAAATGTCTAAGGTGTGAGCGTCAAACTTGTTGAGACTAAGGTGTGACGTATAACTATCAAATCACTTCACGTAACGCGGATTTACCGTGATAAAGTTGTTAGGGCCCCCGCGACAGAGATCAGCTCATCTGTTCAGAACTTTCAAATCAATAGCCAATAAAAAACGTCCGTAATTAGCCATTCACAGGAAAGTTGTCCCTTACGGAAAAGTCTAGTTCCAAGTTAAAATCTACTACATCTTGATTCGAGAATAATAGACACAAAATGTGCGAAATTACCAAATATATCTCCAAAAAATGTTGCTAATGAGGTACGAAATTTCGCGTATTTTCTAGGAGTAATCACATCGTTTAGCCATTAGCTATGACAAAAAACAGACGCAATCAATGCTCTTTTTGATCAATTTTAATTATTCTGTTTTTGGATAAATTTAATGCACTTTGTCAACAAATCACATAAAGTGACAAATCCCATTTTGATTAGAGAACATTGTTGCATCATTGTTTCACAAAGAACTTTTCGGCTGTTTAAAATACCTTCTGTCATTAATGAAGGGCATTAGTTTGAGCTAGAAGCTCTTTTGATTTAATTCGAGATCAATACAGACTAATTGTCATGGTAACAGAAAACTTTAAATTACTAAATGTTCAATGCAATCGGAACACTTCCAAGCTGTTTGACGTGGTCATTAAGGGTTTGTTTTAAGTCCCACAAGGTCACCCAATGCGGAGATTAGCGGTTAAACCAAAGCGATAACCTTGAAACTGAAATCGATTAAATGTAGAACCACGATCAAAATAACCGTTCTGATTGGTATTTGGCGCCCTGTGATCCGGTAACACACACTGATTGGTTGACCCTGATTGCAAGTACGGGCGAAAATTTGAATTAACCAATAAAAATGAGGAAAATGATGCACGTGGATATGCAACCAGTTCACGAATCTAAGCACCCATAGTCACTGCAAAAAATACTTGTTACCTTGCAAAAAGTATTTTATTCTAGCGTGTTTGTGGTGTCCGATGAATGGCAACTGAACGAAATTGGTAATTAGTTCAAAAGTCGCACCGTTCAGCTTACTGAACCTTTTACCCACTGAGGCGTGTTGACATATAGGCCAGAACAAATGCTAATCGAACGGAACTAACTCTGATGAGAACGCCACGCGTTGTAGAGCTACTGACTCGTGCAAGCAACGTGAGGTTGTCAAATGTTGGCATGCAACGCCAGTATAACCTGCCCGCTTCATTGCCCGGTAAATGGCCATTTCTGAGCAAGCTATTTACTTGATTTGTTAAACTGCCGGCTTTGGTGTTCTTATCCGGCACCAAGAATACTACAGA